GCCTAAGGTCTCTGTGAGCTTGCTCAGGAACTGCCTGAGCCGTTCCTCCCCGCATGCTGGGGAGCAGGGGAGGAGGAGCAGGGGAGGAGCTCCAGACTGCCGGAGGCGATCTGCGAATGCAGGGAGGGAGGGAGTGAGCTCTGCTGCAGGGGGGAGGAGGGGGAAGCAGAGGAGGGGACTCTCTCTGGCTGTTGGAGCCCCATGTAAGTGGCACCATCCAGCTGCCCTGTTAGCCGCGCGCGCTCTGCAGGTGGGGGGGGGGGGGGGAGTCGTGGACATTTACAAATTCCCCCCCGGATGCTATTTTTAGCTCAAAAATCCGGATGTGTCCGGGGGAATCCGGACGAATGGTAACCCTATCTAGTATCATCTCATCAGCCAGATAGCTGCTGGAGCCCTGGCGGAAGGAAAAGAGAAATGGCATACCATATATTGTCTGAAAAGCTTTAATATTTTCACATTTTAAAGTAAGTCTAATGATTTAGAATAGGGGACTGGAAGTCAGGACTACTTGGGTTCTGTTACCACCCCCACCACTTGACTTGGTCTGTTACTTCATGCAAGTCATTTAGCCTCTTCAGCATTTATGAAATCCTCAGATGAAAGACATTTATACATATAATATGCAAAACAGATCCTGTTCTTAAAATACCTTGCAAAATGATAGTTGTTTGACAAACTGTTCTTATCTTACCTCTCAACCTGGTAACTTGGATGGGCCAACACTAGTGCAGTCCACCCTGAGGTGTAATCTGGACATTGCAGAAGCTAAGAAGGGGAGAAGAAAGAAAGTAAGACATGAATTTCAGTGGAAGTTGGCTGCCTGCCTCCCTTAAGTTCCTTTTGAAAATCTGATCTGAAATGCAACGAGTTCAGCGGTGCACAAATTTCTTTGTCCGTCTAGCTCCCACTTTCCTCTGAGCAAAACCTTTCCTTGCTGAAACATACCTGAATGGATTTGTTAGAAGGTCAGCATGTCCCTCTAAGACCATAAAGCCTCATAAGACCAATAAGTCTTCAATAAACATGAAGAAACAAAGGAGAAGCAGGAATGGTCTTAAGACAGGCAGTTTTGAAATACCAGAGAGAAATATGGCCTTGTTAAGACAGTAGCAAAGATCTTTCCAACTGTGTGTGTGCTGAGATGTCCTGAAATCCTGGCCCCGTTGAAGTCCGTGGTAAGACTCCTGCGGACTTCAGTAGGGTCAGTAGTTTACCTGTTGGTGAATCAGAGGGAATTTTGTGAAATGATTGTCTGGTCACTTTTAAGTTGTAGACCTACATGTTACTGTTGTTAGGTTACATTGCAACACTTAGCAGTTCGTATGACCAAGAAGGACTAAAATCAAGCAAATCTGTATACGTAGTTTAGTTTTAGACCTGTTTAGTCTAAAGGTAAATAGTAAACTGTACAAACTTATCTAGATATCACCTTGTGCTCCAAGGGGAACATAAATACATGTCTATAGATGTCTGCAGGGTGAATATTTGAGGGACAGCCACTTCATAATGTAAATTTGGTGGACAGGTTAAATTCTGAAGGAAAATTCTGTGTATTTATTTAGCTTGTGTTAAATTAAAAAGTATATTCCTTTTCAGCTGTCTTGTCCATGTTTTGGCTGTCCTGCAGTGAAAGGAGCTGTGTGGTGGTGAATTGCATCAGTCATGCAAATCAGTGTTGGGGATGACTAGTGACTATTGGCAGGATTGTCTTGTGGCTAAAGAGATGGACTGGGAGGCCTGGGTCAGACCCACTGTGGTTTTTTTTTTTTGTGGGGGAAGTCACTTAGAGTTAGATATTCAGAAGTGCCCAGCACACTGGGTGCTGAAGTTCATTAAACAAGTCATCCATTTTCTTTACCTTTGCTTCTGTAGTGGGCGCTGGCCTTTGCAGTTCCCAGTTGGCTTCCCATCAGTGCCCGTTACAGTCTCAAGTGGGACACTAGATGGCGCTTGATCTCCAAGCTCCTGATTCGATTTATTTATTTTAAACTGTGCTCTAAATTGCTTATTTGCTAGGAATAATAAAAAGCGTGGATGCTCAGAGGTAGTTGCAAGGGCTGAAAAAAAATAAGGTGGGTTTTTTTATGCATGGCGAGGTCGCAGCAAATAGGGAAACAAAGAAGCCAATGTTCCCAGGGTGGGCAATTTTCAGACTTGTTTTTAAATAACCATAGTTGAGTATTACCCTTAATGTGTATTCTTAATCAGTTACTTAGTAATAGGAATTCTGGATCAAAAATCACCTGCCAAGAAAGCTGTCTTTTGTCTCCCATGTGGTTTTAGATATCCGCTATGCCGCTTCTGTTATAAGTTTGCATTTTGTAATTTCAACACAAAATAATTATTTTGTTCTAACAGATTTTCTTCTCTTCCCTAGTTACACAGTCACCTTCTTTCTATAGAATATGATTGATTAAGTGCACTTTCCTAGGGAAAGATGGGCATACATTTTGCTGTATTTCTTAATCCCTGAAAGCAACCTTTCTTCTCATACTTCGCATTTTCATAGCACTCTTCAGCCCTGGATCTCAGAGTGGTCTACAATTGTGAGTTGGTATCATCCTCCTCCTCCTCCCCATATTACAGACGAGGAAACTGAGGTATGGGGAGGTGAAATGACTAGCTGAAGATACCCCAGTGAGTCAATGGCAGAGTGGCATATAGGAACCTTGCTATCCTGATTCTATCCTCTAACCACTTTGTGAACAGACTGCTTGGTATTTATATCTAACTTACTTCACCCTCTGATCGGGGTAATTCTGGTAACCGCTCTGTCAGGGGACGTTACAGGTATCAAATACTTACACTCTCTGGAATTGCAGGTTGGAATCTAAACAGAATCAACTCAGCCTTTCAGAGGAAGATGAACTGAGATCTGTGCAACTTGCTGTGTTTAAAGGAAACCTTTTGAAAACTGTGGTTCTGCTCTGACCGAGCCCATTACACTTTTCATACGAGTTGGCCTGTTACTAACATATGTCCTACCCCCAACATTTGCACCGCATGCTGTGTGCATCAGCTACCACCTTCTCCCCAGCGTTGGCTGCATTTCAGTGGTTGTGTAGCTATAGATCTAAACCACTTTAGGATACTTCAGAATAAAAAATGCTATAGAAATATAAAAGATATTGGGTCAGTTTTTTATTGGTGTAAACTAGTGCACCTCCACTGACTTCAGTAGAACTGTGCCAATTTATACTAGCAGAGAATTTTGGCCTGCGTATTGTTTGGAGAATAAGGATTGCCTGATTGGATCAGACCCGAGGTCCAGCCAATCCAGAATCCTGTCTTTGCTAGCTGCCGATACGAGATGCTTCAGAGGAAGATATAAGAACCCCCGTTGTCCTGGTCTGCACTGAAATTTGCTGCTTCTACACCAAATGGATGACACAAACCATGCAAGGAACAGGAAGTGAAATTCTCTTCTGAGTAGGAGGAGAGTTTTTTTTTCCAGAGACACATTGTCTCTGCAAAGCCTCCAGGTTGACTAAGATACACATCTCACTGCTTGTTTTGCTGTAGTGGGCCAAGCTATCTCTACACCATTGCCCACCAGAATGCCTCTTTAGCACTGCCTAGAGGTGGGGTCTTTAGCCTCCAGGGTCACTCATTCCTTGCTGTGGCTGCTTGCAAAGGTGATCTAGATTTATTGTTTGGAAAACTGACCTACCCTCATTGACTTGTGCCCAGCACAGAATAATCCTTCAGCTGTGTGTTTGCACTGGGATGACCTCAAGTGATATAGATGATGTAGAAAGACCTTTTGTCTCACCACATTCAGAAGCCTTGACTGTTGTTTATGGTTGAGCATCACCATTAAGTTTGCTTTATCAGGCAACACTTAGAAAGTTACATTGTAAATGTGCAGTAGGTGACTGTCTAATCCCCTTAATCCTGTATTTAAAAAGCCTGACGTGTTTTGTTTTGTTTTGTTTTTCCCTATCCCAAACCACTTTTAGGGAACTGGAGGGATGAGGCTTCAAATTATGCCAAACACTTTTATGCTTTAGTTCATGTATTAATAATAAAGGACAGGTGGTTTCCTAAGGTCTGTCATGTGTGGAGCTGAAGTAGTGGGGCCTGTAAACAGAACTTGTATGGGAGTCCAGTTGCAGCTGGTGTCTGGTCAAACAGTGCTCAGAACCTGGTATGCTGGCTATGCTGAGCCAGGCTCTCTATGCTGGTTGATTCCAGTGGAGTTATACCAGAGTAACTTGAGTCATGGAGGAGCTATTAGCTAGGTCTGATTCCTGCTAGCTACTCTCTCAGCCTGATTGTCCACTCCATTACACTGACTTAACTGGGTTGTCGGAAGCCAAACTCCATTAGTCTCCTTTTGAAAATCCCGTGACCGTGTGAGTTGCCCCAGTGCATACGTAGTGTCTCTTTCTTACCATGTTATGTTTTCACTGGGTTGTTTATTACAAGTCCCTCGAAGCAATGGGATAGAGTTTTTTTGCTGCTATGCTACTGGTGTGTGAATCCAGCCCTGGTCAGTAGTGACTTTTGCCCCATGAGTACTATTTGGTGTCTGATGTGAGGTGACTTTCTCTTTAATGATCACTTGTCAGACATTATTTACACTCTGATGGAAAAAAGCTGGCAAGTGCAAAGACATAGAAGTTAAGGTAACTTGATTTTCTGCATCATAAATCTCCACAAGCTGTGTAAAATTCTCATGGTTAGGCACTTTTATAAAACAAAAGGTCTGATTCTCCTCTCCCTTACCCCAGTGTAAATCCATTTGAAGCAGGTACACCAGTGTAAGAGGAGAAGCAGACCCAATGATTTTACAGTACTGGTACTCCTGGGTTTCTCACTAAGGGCTCTCTTCTATTCTGGAGTGGCAACTACTATCACCAGTGCAACTAACGCCATGGTGTCTCCTTTTGAGACATAGGTTACACACATGTCCAGATTCTGTCTCCATTTATTCTGGTCCAGGTCCACTGTCTTCCCTTGGGTAAATGAAGACAGAATTTGGCCCATAGCAATAAGCTGTTGTCCCCACCCCCCTTTTTTTCCCTACTTAGTCTATTCTAAGTACTAGTGGATCCAGTTTTACAGGGAGTTATCATTGTGCTTCTGTCTGCATTTGTTTAAACAAACAACATCATGCTGTTCTTCTTCGAGTGC